TCGTGCGGCTCTATAATGCACCACTTTCATCCCAAATGATGTCCTTCCACCTGCATGCCGGTAAGGATCAAAGCACAGCCAATATTAGCCCAAGTGTTAGGCTACAGCGTAGGGATCATTTCTGCTAATAGCGATCTGCGAGTTTAGTGCAAAAATGCATGATCGCACCGGAGAGTCTGGTGCGTTCCAGCCTGGGTTTTTTTTTTTAGAAAATGTTCACGCTGATTGTGCAAATGATGCGTACTAGCACTGATTGTGCGTATTAATACTGATTACGTAAATGATGTACCATGTGATGGGATGGCAGAGAGTCATCCGTCTCGTTTTACTTTTTCGCGTTTTTATGCAAATACAAAAACGCACAGTGTCTGTCTGTGTGTGTATGCATTTCTGTCATCTGCTTTCGACTCAGCACTCCGAGCAACTGGAAAGCTGAACTTTCTAGGTATGCCCCCACTGCATTTGTGATGCTCCATTTTTGAAATTATTGTTCACGCATATCTAGGCCTCACGTAAAGAAGCCTAAAAAAATTTATGAAATTTTTTGACGGGGAAGCAATTACGGAAGCCAGACAAAATGCGAAACTGAAATTTTGCGGAGATATTTTATGTAAATGTGTGAGCTTAAGATTTCAAACTGTTTTAATACAGGCCTACATCACGTATACGAATACTTTCGGAACATCACTGGAACATCAGTTTGGAACACCATCAGCAAAATGTCAACCCGGAAACTAAGCTTTTCAAAGGGAGAATACTTGTTTTCTTTGTATGGGAATGGAAGCACAAAATGAGCTGAGAACTTCATCTGTGTAGCGTATTCGGACACGTCAAAGATATTTTTAACGAAAAGCGATTTCGCCAACCAGTCATGCTAGGAAACTTTATGAGGATATTCAATACCCATGTGCGACCGAAATACTTTAAATTAATCTTTGAAGCAGCCTAGGTCTCTCGTGCGCGCAAGTGCAAAATTTAGTTTGAGACACTGTTGGTATCTAATTAATTCAGTAACCGGACTGAGCCGGAAGCAGCATTTTCTTGAGGATGTTGTTCATATGCGAGCCACCAAGCATAACATAAACTTTTGCCTAGGCACAGGCCCTGCGTGCTGAAAAATTAAATGTTCAAACTGAAATACCACAGCCCGATCTAGTAGCATAGGCGATCTTTTCATAGGATGGAAACATGCAAAAACGTATGATCGCACCGACATGCCTGGCGCGTCGCCATATGATTTTACATTGAAATAACCCAGGCTGGAATGTGCCAGACAGGCTAGTGCGATCATGCGTTTTTTCATTGTTTCGTGCTCTAGCAAGATCGCGAGGAATCATAGTAGTTATAACTTCTGACATACTGGCCCTTAAAATTCAGGAAGTTAAGCTATGTGGCATGTCAATTATACATGTCGGCTTCATGGAAAGGAAAGCTGCT